TGTGTATAGCAGTGCAGCTCAAGTTGACTGCCTGAACTAGCTTGCAGGCTTCACTCCATTTAAGTAATGATTTAAATCAGCATGTCAAATAGTTAATATATGTCACCACAGTCCAGATTCTACATTAAAAATGTTAAGCACTGTAAAACATTTAATTCTAGTTCCTTCATTCTCACCTTTCCACAGAGTGTCTCCACTGTGGCTTTGCCACCCTCTTTCTTAACAAGTTTCCCCTTGAGGTACATCTCGTTGGGTTCAGACACAAAGTATGCCGTTTTAGCATCAAAGGGAGTGTTTTGAGCTTCAAGTCGCTCTTTTTCTGGCTTGCGGAGGTAAATGGCCGCCGCGCCAAAACACTCCATTTCGGGGTCCGGCATGATGACCTTTTACTGCACAAAAGGAAACAAGACAATAGTCATTCAATTTAAATCCCAGGAAAGCAGATAGATGGATGTCCAAGTAATGACTTCTAGAAATGAAATGAATACTAATGACTATAGTACAAAGTACTAACATGACTGTGATGTTCACAGGGGACAACCCTTATATGTAGAGTATATGGCGTATGCACTGGTAATTAGTAGGTATTGTCCAAGACAAAGCCCAATTTACCTTGGATAACACCAGGTGAGCAGGGGGTTTTCTGGTAGACTTCAATGCAGACTTCTGAAAAAAGCAAACAAAGATGTAATGTTCACAAAGGCTACCTCTGAGAGTTAATTCTATCATAATTAATTTTAAGATAAGGTGAGGAAAATAAAATATAAGTATACTGATAAGACTTTAAATCTGTTTGTAGTCTTATGTTTATCTTCTATATTTTATAATAACAATATTGACTTTTATTATAAGTATAATATCTTGAATTGGAAAAGTTTAATTACTCACATCTGAGCCACTAAGAAACTTACCTTTGCTCGGTGCCTGTCCCTGGTGGACGTTTGCTTTGCCTTTTATATAGAGTGATGGGGGCCTATCGCCTGTGTATTGCTGTATTTGGTCATGTCGCCTGACAATACTAGCTGTCACATTACAAAGTTTATGGGATGTCTTCCATGCCATATTAATATCAGGTTTATATTTGTTGGGAATTGAGGTTTTGGATTTTGGTTTTTAAGAAATAATAACATTTCTGTGATTTTTAGAAATCAGTTAGGCTGTTGTTTTGCCTTTAATATTGCTTTTTGTAATAATTGTTGTCATAAATTGTGAAAATGGGAGGAATATTTTGAGATACTGTATATCCTGTATATATATACTGTATACTGTGTGTTTTAACATAGTAAGAGTTTATTACATGCTAATGTAGCATACAAATGTGAAGTTGGTTCTGCTTGTGGATACTACTGTGTATGCAAATAAGGCACAGATGTGAAGTTGGCTCCGTTCTTGTTCATGGTTAAGTCAGTAGTTACAGGCAGTCCAAAGGTGTGACTAATGCATCTTTTTTATGCTCTCTGGCACACCAGAAGCCCCTTGAGATGCTTTCGAGAATCTTTCGAAAAGTCAGTGGTATACTGTTTCAGAGTTCATACAAGTCAGAAGTTACTAGAAAAATTAAATGAGTGCCAATGAGCTTTGAAGAAAAGGAAGGATTGCCAAAGGATTATTTCTCACAACAGTGCCAACAGCTGCTTTTATTGTTGTTCTTAAAGGATACACAGGGGAGACTGAGACAGTCCCTAAATGTAGAACAACTGAGTGATGGATTCCTGCTCTACTTCCTATAGGTTGTGCATCACCTCAACGTGAGTTTTTGTGTACATCAGAGTTTGGTGTGTCATGTAGTTCTAAGCCATTTTGTTTATTAAAAGTCTACAGTGTGTGATGGGACAGAAGATGTTTTCATAGATGGCAAGTGTATCTAGCCAAAATATTCTGCCAAGAGCATGGCACACAGCCGCAAAATTTAACAATGTGGTTAGACAAGACAGCAAGACAGCCATTAGATTCTGTTAAGACTGGAAAGAGTAGAAGAAATTCTAAAGTGGTTACCAACAAGATATAATGAGCCTCTGTCTTCAATGTTACACGATACCTGCTCGGAAATATTCTGTCTTATTAGGGCAAAACTCAAATATAGCATCAGGCTTGTGTTGATGCTCATACCAAATGCCACATGCTCAAGAGGCTTATTGTGTTTTTATGGCCTTTGATCTCTCCGTCTGTCAGTTTCTCCATTTGTCAAGCAGAAACAACTGGACTCGGGATAACAAACCAAGGTGAGTGTTGAGTAACATTCCAGTCTAGAAGCTGGTCACAAAGAGCATGGATATACATGTACAGTAACAGTAGCATCTATGTTTACCATTGTAAGTACATGTGTTTTTAGTATATTTCAAACATTTTAAATATATCTGTGAATTGCAATTGTGATCCTGCGTTATTATAATTTCTAACACTCTATAGAGAGGCATTAGTGTATCTACAGCACTAGTAGTTATTGTCACTAATTGTCTATTGACTGACTTTTAAACACTGTTTTTGATGTTGTGGTTTGGCAGTCATTCAGACTATTTGGAATCATACTTGGTTGGTTTTTGAATGATAAAATAAAATGTGTCATCGCCCATGTTTTTGGACGCATGGACGCATGCTGTATGTCAAGGTCACTCTCTAAGCAGCCTCAAGAATGTATTTTTTCTTTTAATGAATAGATAGATAGATAGATAG